CAGGGGGGGGGGGGGGGGGGAGAGGGCGGATGATTGCCCGGGAAAGGGGGCGTTGGCCGGGACGTACGAAGCCATTCTCCCGCAAGCTGGTCAGCATGACAATCACTCGGACCTCCTCCTGGCGAGTCATGCGCCAGAAGGCACCGAAGGTGGTCGGCAGGGGCCCCTGCGTGGCGATGTACTTCTGCGGGTTACCCGGGAACTATGCACAGAAAAGCCGGTCGGCGAGCGGGGGAGGCAGGAGGCGAGAGAGAGTTAGTCCCCGAGCACACGGCAGACCGAGCATCCTGCGGGGGGGGGGGGGAGAGAGAGAGAGAGAGAGAGAGAGAGAGCACGCACCGTCAGCCAATTGGCATTGATGTAGTCGCTGGCCATCGGGACAAATGGCTCCGCCGCAGAGGTGAGAGCCTGCAGACCCTGTGTCGAGACCGTCGGAGCCGACAGCTTGGACAGGGTCCCGGGCGGAGGGTGCAGAGACGATGTGACTGGCAGGCTGACACGCCGGCGGAAGAGAGTCGGCCGCGAGGAGGAGGCTCCGGCAGGCGAGACGGCCGACGCGCGCTTGGGATCCGGGCTGGCGGCAGGGGCGGCCACCGTCGCCGGCGGGTCGGTGGCCATCGGCGATGGCTCGGTCGAGTCAACCGGCGGGAAGGGCGGCGAATTGGCAAAGAGCGGCGACTCCGGCATGGCCTCGGGATGCGTGGCCAGGGTCAAGGTCAAGGGGGTGGGTGGCCCGGCCTGCCGGCCCGTCGGCCCGGAGAAGGAGTGCCGCGCCGGTGGAGCATCGAATGACCGGATCCCCGGCCCGCGAAGACGGATGCGCGTATGCTCGACTGCGAACCGCCGAGGGGAAGCGGACGGGACCGAGCACAGGACACGATTGGATGGGGGCACACACGGATGCATACACGCACACGCACACGCAGAGGAGTTAGTAAGAGAGAGGGGAAGGGGGGAGAGAGGGGAAGGGGGGGAGAGAGGGAAACGCGCAGATCAAAGCCCCCTCGGCAATGCAGCAAGAAACGCACAGGGGATGATGTTGGTGTAGCGGTTGAAGTTGCGAATGCGCTCAATGTTCTTCTGCTGGTAGGTTGGCCGCTGGGCGGAGGCCGAAGACTGTGCCGGGCGTCGCCCGGCCGGGGCCCCGCTGCACGTCCAGTCAATCCACGCCTGGTACGAAGGGTGGTCAATGTTCTCCGACGGCAACTGCATGTACATGGACGGGATGCTGATGTCATGCGGCAGGGCTCGGCGCAGGGAGAGCGGCACGTAATCCAACTCCGGCTGCTCGTCGGCGGAGGCGCCGCCGCCGGTGGCCGCAGAGGCCGGGTCCAGCTCCTCCAAGACGGAACTCAGCGCCGCCCCGGCGCTGATGATGGCCGCCTGCGGGGAGTCCGGCTCCGAGAGACACATCGAATCGCCGGACCCGGTCGAGGAAGAGGGCGAGGTACGCGCATACGGGACCAGCCCGGCCGATGCCGTGGCCGGGAGCGGTGCCACCGCATCGGCCGCCAGCATTTCCGAATCCGAGCAATCAGACCCACTCATGGCACCAGACGAGCAGGAGCCCCCCGAGGAGCAGGAAGAAGAACGGCGTCCCCCCGGGACCGGGTGGTGGCCGCCATGCCGGGGGGAAGAATGCACCCCGGGCCCGGATCCGGCCCCCGCCCCGGGGAAGCCCCCAGGCAGAGGGCTCTTCGAGGCCCACAGCCTGGAACAAATTTCCGCCAGGGTGATGTCATCTGGCCGAGACTCGGGCAGCGAGGAAATCCGGTGCGTATAGAGCCCCAAGCGGGAGGACAGGCGGAGGTGGGTGCGGTTGCGCCGATCGCGGGCCGACGACGTGCCAGCGGCCGGCTCTCCGGAACCCACCGGAGCCGAGGAATGTGAAGAGACGGCATTCATGGAGGAGGTCGCCGAGGAGGAGGAGGAGGAGGAAGAGGGAGGCGGCAGCCCGGACGGCATGGAGGACATGCTGGCGACGGGGCTGAACGCCGGCCGACTGGATGACCGAGGGGCGTGTGTGAAGCTAGAGAGGTGATGGAGTTGCTGCTGCTGGAGCTGCAACAGGAGCTGCGGCGGCAGCGGCGGCGGCGGCGGCGGCGGCGGCGGCGGCGGATGCCCTACTGTCGGGGTCTGGCTGGCGGATGTGGATGCCCTGCACGGGGGTGCCGCGGCCAGGGACGACAGGGAGGAAGTGGAAGAGGAGCAGGAGAAGGACAAGGACGCCGGGGGCGGCGGCGGCGGCGGTGGCGGCGGCGGCGGCGGCGGCGAGGAGGGCGATCCCGAACCCGAGCGCGGCCCAGAGCGGGACTTACTTACGGCGCCGAGGTCGCGCGAAACCGACCGGTCCGAGCGCCGACGGAATGGAGCCTGCCCGGCGACGGTGGCGGCGGCAACCGCAGCGGCAACCGCGCTGGGAGAGCCACCGGCCGGGGCGGCGGAGGGGGAGCCGGCTGACGCCAGGGCCGCCAGCGCCTTGTGCGAAGAGAGAGAGCGGCGCACGGCCGGCGAACGGGCCTCGACGCTGTCAAGCAGCGGAGAGGGCGGCGCGTGCGAGAGCGGGCTGTTCACCGGCGGGGCCGCCGATGACGAAAGTCGCAAGGGGGAAGCGGGCTTCTCGTCCAGGGCCAGCTGGTTGAGAGCGTCCACCGGAGCGACAGAGGACTCGCCGCTGAGGGCGACACCGGAGGCCGATGACAGCAGCAGGGGGGTGGGCGTGACGTCCGCCGTCGTGCCAGCGGGCCCGGTCAGCGCCAGGGGGGAGAGCGAACTGTCCGCGCGGGCTGCCGGCGCCCGGGGGGATTCCTGCAGCAGCAGCAACTGGCTCGAGGAGGGGGCAACCAAACCACCAGGCGATCCCGGGGAGAGGGGGTCAAAAAGGCCGCCAGCAGATGCCGAGAGGGAACGATGCGATGGCGGGCCGGCGTGGTGCGGCCTGCAGCGGGGAGAGACAGACAAATCGTTAGGCCCGCGGACGGGAATGCGACAGGCAGCCGGAAAGGGGCAAGACCGGGCCACCGATGACCCGGGCAAGCCCGAAGAAGCGAGGACAGGTCAAAAGAGGGCCGTCGGGAGAATGGCCGCGTGGTTGGCTGGCTCGTACGAGAGAAGGTGATTCAGGCGCGGAGTGGGCGGGCTCGCCGAGCCGAAGTCCGGGGCGGTGGCGGCAACAGCGGCGGCGGCAGCAGCAGCGGCGGCGGCGGCGACAACGACAGCAGCGGCGGCAGCGGCGGCGGCAGCAGCAGCACCCGCACTCGCGCCCGCACCAGCAGCGGTGGTGGTGGCGGTGGCGGTGGCGGTGGCGGTGGCGGCCGTCGGCGAGGGGGCAAACGAATGCACCGAGTAGTCCCCGGCACTGGGTGGGGCGTTCGGGGAGAGGGGCCCCGGTGAGACGGGAGCAGCGGCCGCGCGAGGGGGGGACGCCCCAGCCGGCAGGCGATACGGCTCGGGAGAAAGCCCGGCAGCCAGGGCGGCCAAGGAAGCGGAAAGATCCGACGCCGGTGGTGGCGGCGGCGACACAGGAGCCTGAAGCCCGGGGCCCGGAGAGAGACCGATTTCCGGGAGGCTGAGCGACGACAGGGACGGACCCCCGGGCGACACGAGCCCCGGCTCGGTGTGCAGGGAGGAAGCCGAACTGCTGGCCCGGCGAACGGACACGGTGTCCGGGCACTCGGGGAGCTTGTCGAGGTCGGTGACGCTGCGCGTGCGTTGGAAGAGGCTGGTCAGCGACCCGGCAAAGAGGAGAGGACGCTGGCCGGTCGGGCCGCCGTCGTTGGAGATGCGCGGCGTGGAGTCGTAGAAGCCGGGGCCCCCGGCGCCCGTGCTGCCGAGACTGCCGTTGCTACCGCCAGCGAGGTGGCCGTTGTGACCGCCGACAAAGCTCGCGGAGGAGGAGGAGATGACCGGCGTCTCGAGGCCGGGCGAGTTGAGCGAGAAGGCCCCGGCGTTGGCCGGCACCAGGCCGAAGGCTGAGGGGCTGTTGATCGAAGCCGCGGCCGAGGTCCCGACGAAGGGGGTCTGGTGCTCGGCGGGGAGGGCGCCGTGCGAGGAGTTGAGCCCGGCCGACTCGGCGATCACGGCCGAAAGCTTGGCCTGGAGAGCGTCGATGCCGGGGGCCGCGTTGGGCTTCGGGGTTTCCGGCTGGTACGGGGCACCGGAGATTTGTGGCGAGGAAAAGGCACAGGGGACCGGCTTGGAGAAGAAGGGCGCCGAGGCACTGGCGGCAGCGGCTCCGGCACCGGCCGAGGGGGCGGAGGGGGCGGAGGGGGCGGAGTCGCTGTCGAAAATCAAATACGGACGAGCGGAACTGAAGCTCCGACGGCGATCCGCGGGGCCGGCAGCACCCAGGGGCGGGGAAAAGGGCTCGGAAGGGGTGGCAGCGGCAGCGGCAGCGGCAGCGGCAGTGGCGGCAGCGGCGGCGGCGGCGGCAGCGGCGGCAGCAGCAGCACCCGTTTGCGGACGCGGCGGAAGCCTGGGCGAGAGGGGAAAGTCAAAGCTCGAGACCGAACCACCGGGACCCCCACGAGAGGGCGAGAAAAGGGCGCTCGTGGGTGGCGGCGGGGGGGGCGGAGCGCGTGCGGAGGCGACGGCCACCGGCTGGGGCGGACCCGAGGATGGAGCCTTGGCGGCGCAATGGCCGGTGGCGAGGGCAAGCGTGGCGCGCGAGGGCGAGCGCGACAGCGAAGTCGACGGAGAAGCCGACCGGCCGGCAGGCAGGGACGGAGCGGCCGGGTCTAGGGCCGCGGCCTCGGGCTTCGGCGAGAGGGGCTCAGCGGGGAAGGGAGCGATGGCCAGGGGAACCGGGGCGGGCACGGGGGCGGGCACGACGCCGTTGACGCCGGCCAGCGGCGGCGGCGACGGAGTCGCGTGAAAGAGGGACCGCGAAGTGGGGGAAAGGCGCTGCGGGGGGGGTGGCGGCTGCGATGATGACGGCTGCCTGTCCGGGCCCTCGGGGTCGGCGTCGAGGAGGATCTGTTCCCCGGGGGATGACGTCGAGGCTGGCGGGAACAAGGCGACTGGGAGTTGTGCGGGCATACGAGTGGCGGTCGTGTCGGGGGACGCGCCAGGAGCGAGGCGAGCTCTCTTTTGCTAGGTCCCTCGGTTGCTCGCTGGCTCTCGCTCTCGCTCTCGCTCTGGCGGCCGGATAGGGAGGCCCAGGGCAATGAGGGGGGGGGGGATGGGGCGGCGGGCGTCAGGCGCACGCGCGCTCACAGGAGGACGAAGGAACACCCGTGCGGAAGAGAGGACACGTCCGGGTCAACGCATGGAGCTGCGGAGTGGCGCGGAGGTGCGGGCAGCTCGTCCGGGTTAGATCACCAGTGACAAAGGGTGCTTACACGCGCGCACGCGCGCGGGAAGAGACAGAGAGAGAGAGAGAGAGAGAGAGCGAGAGCGAGAGCGAGAGCGAGAGCGAGCAAAACGCCAAAAACCGAGGGGCAGGATGGGAAACGGGGCCGCACTGGGAAACACGGCCAACAGCAGGTGCTCAAGGATGGAAGATCCCGGTGTCGAATGGAGCGAGGAAGAGTGGAAGGGCGGGGGCAGGGAGGGGAGGGGAAAGAGGGCAGGGGGCAAGGGGAGGATGCGTGCGAGAGTGGAAAGGGGGAGGCGGGAGGGGGCGGCAGTCAGATGCCTTGAGAAGTGGTGGAGACGCGCCATCGGCGTGGCGCAGGCCTCTCCGGGCCTGGCCTCACATAAGATGGGCTAAGAACAACCACACCCAAGGAGCGGGGAGTACCTCCCCACCCGAGGGTGGGGGGGGGGGACGGGGACTGCCCCCATCTCGGCCTATCCCCCGCCCCCCCCCCTCGCAGCCTGTGACTCTTCTTGCCGCGCATCGGCCGGAGACTCCGGTTGATGTGTCCATCTCGGTCGTCGTCTTTGTATGCGGGGCCTGCTCGAGCCCCGGCCCCCGGGTGCTCGCGAGGCTTGTGGCATTTGCGGCAACGGTGCCCCCCCCCCCCCCCCCCCCC